AGGGTGGAAGGAAACCAGAGTACCTGGAGGAAACCCACACAGGCAGAACATGCAAACTCCAGGCAGGTGGTGCTGTGGTTGGGATTTGAACTAATGACTCTAGTACTAGCCAGGTTGAAGCGCTAACCATTTAGCCACTGTGTTGCCCATCCTTTGCACTTTTTTCTTTTATCAACTTTATTTCTATCACAAGAGATAAACCATATCCCTTGTGATAGCATGGACCGTGACAGGTCCTCTTTATGGAGAGCTCTAGGCTCTAGTAGACCCCATATCTCTCCACTGGTCTCCAAAGCATCTGATTAAATCAATAATCATTGGGCAGCACAGTGGCTAAATGATTAGCACTTCCACCTGGTAGCACTAGGGTCATTGGTTCAAATCCCAGCCATTGCACCACCTGCCTGGAGTTTGCATGTTCTCCCTGTGCATGTGTGGGTTTCCTCCAGGTACTCCAGTTTTCCTCCCACACTCCAAAGACATGCTGGTAGGTGAATTTGATCCTGTCTAAATTGTTCCTAGTATATGTATATATGAATGTGAGTTAGGGACCTTAGATTGTACGCCCCTTGAGGGTTAGGGACTGATGTGAATGTACAATATATATGTAAAGCGCTGTGTAAATTAACAGCTATATAAGTACCTGAAATAAATAAATAAGTGCTCCTTCAGCATTACCTATAATGCTGCCACCTCCTCTTCACTCCCTCTTTCTGTAGGGGGTCCCTCAAGGTTCTGTCCTTGGACCCCTACTCTTCTCCATCTATACCTCTGCCCTTGGTCACTTGATAAACTGCCATCTCTATGCTGATGACACACAAATCTACCCCTCACCTCACCCCTTCAGTCTCCTCTCACATTACTAACCTACTAAGTGACATATCGGCATGGATGTCACTCCACTTCCTCAAACTCAATCTTTCCAAAATGGAGCTCATATGATTGCCCCCTCCCCTGACCTCTCCATCCAGATCAATAATACAACCATCAGTCCCGCCCCTCATGCCAGGGTACTAGGTGTAATCCTAGACTCCCTTCTGTCCTTTCAGCCCCAAATCCAATCACTGCCCAAATCTTGTAGACTTCACCTCCATCATCTCCAAGATACACCCATTCCTAACCTCGGAAACCACTAAGCAACTTATTCACTCCCTTGTTATATCTCGCCTTGACTATTGTAACTCCCTCCTCATTGGCCGACCTCATCGCAGGCTATCCCCTCTTCAGTCTATCCTGAATGTTGCTGCCAGACTTATCCACCTTACTAACTGCTCCGTATCTGCCACCCCTCTCTGCCAATCCCTCCACTGGCCTCCATTCAGTGTCCTCCACCCCTCTCCGCCAATCCCACCACTGGCCTCCATTCAGTGTCCTCCACCCCTCTCTGCCAATCCCTCCACTGGCCTTCACTCAGTGTCCTCCACCCCTCTCTGCCAATCCCTCCACTGGCCACCACTCAGTTTCCTCCACCCCTCTCTGCCAATCCCTCCACTGGCATCCATTCAGTGTCCTCCATCCCTCTCTGCCAATCTCTCCAGTGGGCTTCATTCAATGTCCTCTACCCCTCTCTGCCAATCCCTCCATTGATCTCCACTCAGTGTCCTCCATCCCTCTCTGCCAATCTCTCCACTGGCCTCCACTCAGTGTCCTTCACCCCTCTCTGCCAATCCCTCCACTGGCCTCCATTCAGTGTCCTCCACCCCTCTCTGCCAATCCCTCCACTGGTCTCCACTCAGTGTCCTCCACCACTCTCTGCCAATCCCTCCACTGACCTCCACTCAGTGTCCTCCACCCCTCTCTGCCAATCCCTCCACTGACCTCCATTAAGTGTCCTCCACCCCTCTCTGCCAATCCCCCCACTGACCTCCACTCAGTGTCTTCCACCCTTCTCTGCCAATCCCTCCATTCAGTGTCCTCCACCCCTCTCTGCCAATCCCTCCACTGGCTTCCCATTGCCCAACGGATAAAATTCAAAACATTAACAATAACGTATAAAGCCATTTATAACTCTGCCCCAAATTACATCACCGATCTTGTCTCCAAATATCAGCCAAGCCGTACTCTCCGCTCTTTGCAAGACCTCCTGCTCTCTAGCTCCCTTGTCTCCTCCTCCCATGCTCGTCTCCAGGACTTCTCCAGAGCTTCCCCCATACCCTGGAACTCTCTACCCCAATTTATCAGACTATCGCCTACTCTGCTCACTTTTAGGTGATCTCTGAAAACCTCTCTCTTCAGGGAAGCCTATCCTGCCCTCAGCTAATACTGGAATCTTCTACTCTTCCAACCAGTCCATCCCCCACAGTTACTGCCTTTTGTACCACTAGCCCCTCCCTCCTAGATTGTAAACTCCCAGGATCAGGACCCTCCTATCCCTCTTGTATTGAACTGTATTGTTGCTGTATTGTCTCCCGTTATATTGTAAAGCGCTGAGCAAACTGTTGGTGCCATAAATCCTGTATAATAATAATAATATTGGTTTGATCGGATGCAATATCAGCCTGTAATGGCTTGAGAACCACAAATTGAAACCGGAAGTGACAAAACCCTCACCATTTCTGGTTTCCTATATAAGGGGAGGCGGGTATGGATGAACATGCCTCTCCTAAGCACACTGAATGGCGGTAAATCCCCGCCCCCCCCGATCGTTCGGGATAGCCTGGTAAAGGTGGCAGGGAGTGGCCAGAGGAAGACCCCCATTCACACTCTCTAGAAGTGATTGGGTGGGTCTATAGCCGCTCAGATCACTTCCAAAAAGGTGTTCATACATGGGTGGTAAAAAAAAAAAAAAAAAAAAAAAAAAAAATCGCTCAAAAAGTCGTTTGAAAGCCTCGATCATTCGTCTTTCTAAATATTGTATGTCACCGCGCACGCTGGAGTGAGAGCAATCATTCTAGCACCAGACCCCCTCCGTAAAGCTACACTGATGACACTGTTCAACAGGTAAAAAGTTTTGGGCATAAAATTAGCTAATCTTACATAATTTTGGGGTGCTGAAAACGAAAATGACCCTAAAAAATGTTGATTGGCTCTAGTTTCCATGATATATTCACCCATCTAATGACGTAAGCCATTCAAAATTATGATGCAACTTCAGCTGCATATTGCACAATTGATACTGGTGACCAATAGAAAATTGCATGTATACTGAGATGATGCAATATTAGCCTTTAATTGCATCACTTCACTGCATAAAAGCTGCAGTATCTGTAGCTGATTGTAGTTGGACAGCGTCTTTACATTTCGTTTTATGCTTATATAGGCTACTCAGTAATGCCTCGAACTTGTGTGAATAAAGCAGATAATTTCTGCTATATCTGCGGTGAAATAACTTTTATCTCACAAAAAAGGAGGATAACAGGAATGATTAAGAAAGCCTACAACTTGTATTTTGGCTGCAAGATAGGAGACCAGGACAAGAGCTGGGCACCACATATATGCTGCAATTCTTGTGGGACGGCACTGGAGCAATGGTTGAATGGAAAAAAGGCATCTATGCCTTTCGCTGTGCCAATGATTTGGAGAGAGCCAACAGATCATGTTAGTAATTGTTACTTTTGTATGGTGCCTCCAATTGTAAAAGGGCTAAATAAGAAGAAAAAGTTATCTGTGCACTATCCAAAATATTCCATCGGCAATACGTCCAGTTCCTCATGGAGAGGGGCTACCAATTCCTAAAGCACCAGAATCCTTCGTGGTTGAGTCAAGTGAGGAAGAACCTGAAGCGTGTAGTCACGTGCAGTTGTAAGAGATAGCCCTTTCCTCGAATACAAGAGAAAAGCCAAGAGAAGCAAAACCGACACAAACTGAAGACAAAACTAGTGAGAATCCTAAGTATTAAAATGATTCAACTTAGCTTATGGCTATAATTTTTCTTGGTAATCCTATGCAATATATTATGCCATTTAGGCTTTGTTATGTAGTCAATATCACTTGCTTTATATTTGTGGAAAGACATCTATCTATATAATTATTGTGCATTATGTAGTCATTACGCCTATAGTAGAAAACTTTCCGTTTACAGAAAAAACTAGAGCCAATTGACAAATTTCATTGTTATATTTGAACTCAGAATGTGAAATTCATTAAGAAATGGATCCTTTTGTTTCCAAAACTGGCAAAAAATAAAAATTTGTTGAACAGTGTGACCTATAGGGGGCTTTAGAAGCACCCCCTATAGAAAATATAGGGTACTGACATTTAGATATATATCCTCTCCATCACTACTAACAACGCCACCATCTCCCACCCCACACGCCAAAGTCCTGGGTGCCACCCTGGACTCCCACCTCTCCTTCCTACCCCACATCCAACTGCTATCTAGATCATGCAGGCTCCACCTCCGCAACATCTCCAAGATACGCACATTCCTCACCCCAGACACCACCAAACAACTCGTACACTCCCTCATCATCTCACGCCTGGACTACTGCAACTCCCTTCTCACCGGCCTACCCAAACGAATGCTATCACCTCTCCAGTCGATCCTAAACTCCGCGGCCAGACTCATCCACCTCACCAAGCGCTCCACATCCGCCTCCCCCCTCTGCCAATCCCTTCATTGGCTCCCGATTGCCCAACGCATCAAATTCAAAACTGCTAACTCTGACCTGACCTACAAGGCCATTCACAATGCCGCCCCAAACTACATAACTGACCTGATACCCAAATACTACCCTACCCGTGCCCTCCGCTCCTCACAGGACCTCCTACTCTCTAGCTCCCTGGTCTCCTCCTCCCACGCCCGATTGCAGGACTTCTCCAGGACTTCCCCCATCCTCTGGAACTCCCTACCCCAATCCATCAGACTGTCACCTACCCTCCTCACCTTCAGGCGCATCCTGAAAACCCTCCTCTTCAGGGAAGCCAAACCCAACCTCACCTAACACCTGACCTCACCTAACAACTAACCTCCTCCACTCCTCCCACCACTCCATCCCCCACAGCCATCTCCTCCTGTGCCACCTTCCCCTCCCTCCTTGATTGTAAGCTCAAAAGAGTAGGGCCCTCGAACCCCTCGTGTATTGTATTGTTACTGTCTTGTCTCATGTTCTGTCCCCCTTGCTACTGTACAGCGCTGAGCATACCCTTTGGTGCTATATAAACACTGTATAACAGGGGCGGACTGACAACTCATGGGGCCCCCGGGCAATAGGGGATCATGGGGCCCCTGTGTCCTTGCGCAAACTCAAAAAAGCCTATGAAAAAAGTACCAGAGGCATCTCATGGGGCCCCCTACTGGCCCCGGGCCCTCGGGCAGTGCCTGAGTTTCCAAATGGTCAGTCCGCCCCTGCTGTATAATAATAATAATAATAATAACAGTAGTGCAGCGCTATAAAATAACACATAAATATCAAGAATAACAAATATTAAAGGCACACATCCTAAATGGGAAAGATCCTCAATTGAGGGATCAGTAAGCGCTATATCAGTGCGTGTATCCCTTCTAGGGAGATATAAGTCATGCAATATGGGAGTCGAATCACAAAAAGGAAATATAAAGCATATAACTATAGATGAATAAGTGTCCTAATGGATGAAATAAACACTCCTCATGCAGGTGCTCAAAATTGCGTGTCAATCCTCAGTGTCTGGGGTGCAACCTCACCTTCCTGCCCAGGCCCCTCAGGACCAATGAGCTTAGTATGCCACTCAATATTCCTCCAAAGGATAAGGTCCTCCTTAGCAGTAATGTTGGGACTCCCTCTCAGGGGCGGACTGACCATTTGGAAACTCGGGCACTGCCTGAGGGCCCAGGGTCAGTAGGGGGCCCCATGAGATGCCCCTGGTACCTTTTTCATAGGCTTTTTTGAGTTTGGGCAAGGATACAGGGTCCCTATGATCCCCTATTGCCGGGGGCCCCATGAGTTGTCAGTCCCGCCCCTGCTCCCTCCTCTTCTGCTGGGTAGATATCCAATCTGCCTCCTGATGTTAGGACAGGTAACACTCCGTACACGTCCCCAGTAAAGCAAAAGATCCAATATAGTGTAAACCCATTTATTAGTTGAAAGACAATGCATAAAAGTACCTACTCACGTTAAGATAGATGCAAACGGCGTTTTCACCACACTATGGGTGTACTGCATGTGTGGGTAATGCTGGGGTGCACCAAGATGGCGCCCGCGCCGGATCTGACGTCACTACGTTGCCACTCAAGCCCCTCCTACTGGCGTATCTGATACTGTTATTCTTGATATTTATGTGTTATTTCATAGCGCTGCACTACTGTTACATATACATCTTGACCAGGGGCGGACTGACAACTCATGGGGCCCCCGGGCAATAGGGGATCATGGGGCCCCTGTGTCCTTGCCCACACTCAAAGCACACCCCAAAAAAGCCTATAAAAAGGTACCAGGGGCATTTCATGGGGCCCCCTACTGACCCCGGGCCCTCGGGCTGTGCCTGAGTTTCCATATGGTCAGTCCGCCCCTGCGAGGGAGTCCCAACATTACTGCTAAGGAGGACCTTATCCTTTGGAGGAATATTGAGTGGCATACTAAGCTCATTGGTCCTGAGGGGCCTGGGCAGGAAGGTGATGGGGCACCTCAGACACGAGGGGTTACAAAAAAAAAAACAAAAAAAAAAAAATCAAGGGCCCTGCTCTTTCGAGCTTACAATCTAGGAGGGAGGGGAAGGTGGTACAGGAGGAGATGGCTGTGGGGGATGGAGTGGTGGGAGGAGTGGAGGAGGTTAGTAGTTAGATGAGGTCAGGTGTTAGGTGAGGGTGGGGTAGGCTTCCCTGAAGAGGAGGGTTTTCAGGGTGCGCCTGAAGGTGAGGAGGGTAGGTGACAGTCTGATGGATTGGGGTAGGGAGTTCCAGAGGATGGGGGAAGTCCTGGAGAAATCCTGCAATCGGGCGTGGGAGGAGAGACCAGGGAGCTAGAGAGTAGGAGGTCCTGTGAGGAGCGGAGGGCACGGGTAGGGTAGTATCTGGGTATCAGGTCGGTTATGTAGTTCGGTGCTTAAATGATCAGTCCGCCCCAGATCTTGACTGTTTTTTGTGCCCAGGTTGTGGCATTTTAGTACTGGCTGCTTAGTCTCTTACGTTTAATAGAGCAGGAGTATCTTTTTTATTTTTGCTAGGGTACTGACGTTAGTCGCCATTTCACAGCTGCACACAAATGTAAGGCATGTTTGGTATCTATTTACTCGGTGCAACCTCGTCCTTTATTTATTTATTTAACTAAAATTTGGGTAATATATTGCATTTGTTTGCCCGGTCATTCACTAGAATGTGTTTTTTTTTTTTTTTAACTGAAATATTGACCTTTGTGGTAATATCGCATGACATACAAAAATTGGAACTACCACCATTTTATTCTCTAGGGCAGTGGTCTCCAAACAGCAGCTGCCCGGGAGCCAGATGTGGCCCTTTGCCTGCTTTTACCTGGCCCTTGGGGCACTATTTCATTCACTGACACCAACAATGGGGCATAATTCCCCCCCCACTGACACCAATGAAGGGGCACAATTGCTCCCAATGATGCCAATCAGGGGCGGACTGACAACTCATGGGGCCCCCGGGCAATAGGGGATCATGGGGCCCCTGTGTCCTTGCCCAAACTCAAAAAAGTCTATGAAAAAGGTACCAGGGGCATCTCATGGGGCCCCCTACTGACCCCGGGCCCTCAGGCAGTGCCTGAGTTTCCAAATGGTCAGTCCGCCCCTGATGCCAATTATAGGGGACAATTTCTCCCAATGACACCAAAAATGGGGCCCAGTGACACCAAAGATAGGACACAATTCTTCCTTATGACACCAAGGATGGGGCACAATTTCTAATAATGACACCGACAATGGGGCCCAATGAGATCAATGATGAGACACAATTCCTTCCAATGACACCAAGGATTGAACATTGTTTTTTTCCCAATGGCCACACTCTGACCCCCCCTCCCCCTAAAGTCTGAATGACAGTAAACTGGCCCTTTGTTCAGAAAGTTTGGAGACCCCTGCTTCCAGAAAATATATAATATTTTGGAGGGGTTTTGTGTCATCTTCAGGACTAAAATTATGTTTTTTTTTCAACAAGGTGTGCAAAAAACAAAATGATGAAAAAACGGCTCTGGCAGCGAAAGTGTTAAATCCAGAAACTAAGAATGTTGTGAAACAAAAGGTATTTGTCTAGAAACAAGATGGTGGGGGATGACACCAGCCTCTGAGAGTTTGGAAAAGTTTTCACCTGGGATGGTTTTCACAATAGGGCCCCCCACAGGTTCAGATATAAGGAGTCCACATGCAGATTGACTTCCAATTTCCCACCACACAGGGGACTGGCAGACAATACCACACCTTGGGGTGGATGGGGAACATGTGATTGGAATGGTAATGAGACTCATGCAAAAAGCTAAACACAAAAATAACCCAAAAAAAAACAAAACAGATCATTATCACATCACTTAGCTGAGCTCCAGATCTAGGAAGAAGAAATAGGAAAAAAAAAAAAGGTGGTCCTCCTATTCTGCAGGTACCCACATGGAAGAAAAATATGTTTTAAATATAATTTTTAAATATATTTTAAAAATATTCTTCCCAAATAGATTGACATATATTTGAAATACTACAATTTTGGCCGTATTTAATGTGCTTCAAAATATATTTATATACATACAGTACATACATACACACACATATATATATATATATATATATATATATATATATATATATATACATATATACACACGCACATATTTTTAAAAATACATTTAATCTACATTTTTGGAATACATTTACAAAATATATGTAAAAATATATGTTAAAATGACTTTTTATGTTAAAAAGGACCTGAAGAATATATTTAACAAAAAATATTTTTCATATATTTTGTAATATATATATATACAGATACAGTATAAATATAAATTCAATATATTTCAAAATATATTTATATACATACACACACATATGCATATATATACACACACACACACACACACACACATATATATAACAAAATATATGAAAAATATTTTTTTAAATATTTTTTTTAAATATATTCTTCAGATCTTTTTTAGCATATAAAAAAGTCATTTTAACTTATATTTTTACATTTATTTGTAAATGCATTCTAAAAATGTAGATTAAATGTAAAAAAAAGTTTTCATATACTTTGTGATAACAATGCATTTCACATACAGTGTACATATAAATATATAATATATATATATATATATATACACACACACACATATATACACACACTGCAGGTTGAAATGTCTTTTTTATATGTTACAAATCATATAAAAAGTATTTTTTAAAATATATTATTTTTAACTATATTCCTCAGATTTTTTTAACATATAAAAAAAAAGTAATTTTAACATATATTTTTTCATGTATTTGTAATGCATTCCAAATATGTAGATTAAATGTAAAAAAAATTTTTTTTAATACATACAACAAACAATATTATATA